ACCGTATTCTTCCTTCCTCCAGCTCCTTGGAGGATGTGATAACCCATTCAGGGTTTCTGGGGCGTCTGCCTGGTTCCTTGGCAGCTGGCGAGGCACCCTGGGATGGGAAATCAGGCAGCCGCCCAAATATTATAAACAATTACTGCTAATTACCAGGCCTGCCAGTTCCCCATTGTCTGCTCACAATCCCACCAGGAACCCAGGAGCAGACGATGATGCTGGAGGAAACTTTCAATTTCAGGCTGTAGAAGGCTGGCTCTGCCTAGAAGGCTGGGCCCCGTCAGTGACTTGGAATCCAAGAGGCAACGCCATTTCTTAGGCTTTTGGAGACCAGGCAGACCCTCCTTACAAATAGGATCCTGGACCACCCCCACCCCCACCCACATGGCCAGGAGGATGGATAGGGTGGAAAAGAGACTGGATATAGAGGAAAAGCCATGTCACCAGCTTGTGTGAGAGAGTCTAGTTCTTAGCTGTGGGGCTGTTAATTCAGGGTCCTTGGTTTGGTAAGAATGATAGGTACACATTTCTATCCCCAGATACTGAAGTCATTTTTTCCATACTGTCTCTATGACACTGTTGCGTAATTGTTGAGACAATAGATTCGGAAGCCCGATTGCTTGGATTCAAATACCACTCTGCCCCCGTTTTGGTTTGGCCTTCTCTCTTGCGACAGGAACCTATGCTCCCCTCTGGGGCGTGGAGGGATAAGAGGGCCTCAGACCCTCACAGGTTTACTTGGCAAGACACCAGGCAGCCATTTCTGCAAAGCTTCGTGCTCTTTCCTCAGCTCCACCTAATAAGAAGGATGGGCACAAGCCCCGTCTGCTTTCAGATTCCCGCGGGGGGGTTCCTGTCATCCTTCAGCACGGCCACCCCAGACCTTCTTAGACCCAGACCCAGACCCTCCAGCATCTCAGCACCCTGCCATCCCCACCTGGCACCCTCTGCCCTCCCTGGCTCGGGATTTTTTGTTTGCTTGTTTATTTGGAGGCAAGGCAGCCCCGTTTTGCACCTATCCTTCTTAGATTTGAAGCTCAAAAGCCAAGAATCTGACTGTTTTGTTCCCTGGCTACTGCTTGAATGGGCAAGGGTGGCAGGAGATGGTAGGAAATTATGAAAATGAAAAGCACGCAGGCTAAAATGTCAAATTACGCTGCCAGCGACTCTGCGGATAACTTAAGTAAAAACAGAATTTATTGGAACCACGCTGGGGACTCTGACGTGGGTGAGGGAGAGCTGAGAGCGCACAGGACTGGGTAGCGAGTCGTTTGGGGCTCTTTGCAAGGGCAGGCCATTCACACGGCTCAGGCCTCGTGACTTTTAGTTTCTGGAATTCTCTCTCTCTCTCTCTCTCTCTCTCTCTGTTTCTTAATTTCCTAGAGAGTCTGTTTGCGCTTGGGTCAACTCTGGCCAGGGGACAGGGTTGCTGGATTTAAGTAAAGCCAGTTGGCAATAACCAGCCTCTTCAGTGACTTAATAAAAATGCTTATTTCTTGCTCAGGCCAACATCAATACAGGTGTTTTCTGGTTGTTTGGCCCCAGGCTCCTTTTCTCTTGTGGTTTCACCATCCTTAGGGCCTCAGGACTCTCTGCTGGAGACACTGATGGAGGAAAATAGAAGACGATCATATGTGGGAGGCTTTGGGGTTTTTTTTCCTAATTGTGGTAAAATACACACAATCTCAAATTGACCATCGTAACCATTTTTAAGTGTATGATCCATTCAGTGGCATTCAGTGCGTTCATATTTACATTGTTATGCTACCATCACCGCCATCCATCTCCAGAACTCTTTTCATCTTGTTAAAGTGCAACTCTGAACTCATTAAACAGTAACTCCATCCCCCGTCTTCCTAGCCCCTGGCAACACCATCCCACTTTCTGTCTGTATGAATCTGACACCTCATATATGTGGAATCATCTAGTATTTGTCCGTTCGTGACTGGTTTACTTCATTTAGTGTAACATCTTCAAGGTCCATCCATGTTGTGACATGTGTCAGAGCGTGTTCCATTTCCTTGTAAAGGCTGAATAATATTCCATTGTATGTATGTACCACACCTTGCTTACCCATTCATCCATCCATGGGACACTTGGATGGCTTCTACCTTTGGGCTATTGCAAATAATGCTTTCTATGAACATGAGTGTACAAATATCTCTTAGAAACTGTGCTTTCAGTTTTTTTCTTTTTTGGTATATACCCAGAAGTGGAATTGCTGGGTCATATGGTAGTCTTATTTTTAATTTTTTGGGGAACCTGCTTACTGTTTTCCACAATGGCTGCACCATTTTACATTCTCACCAACAGTGCACAAGGATTCCAATTTCTCCACATCTTTGCTGACACTTGTTGTTTTGTGTTTTCAGTTTTGTTTTGTTTTTGATAGTAGCCATGTGAATGGTTGTGAGACGTCATGTGGGAGGTTTTTATAGGCTAGGCTGGGAAGTGGACCACGTTACTTCAGCTCACATCCATTGGCCACACATAGTTATAATGCTGGGAAAAAGATCGAGCTGTGTGCCCAGGAGAGAAAGGTGAATACGTAGCATTTACATGCTCAGAAACACACAGCAGGCTTCTAGGAGCTCACCCTGTATATTGGGACCAATCACAGGCGAGGGAGGTTATTGTAAGCCGGGACAGCCAGCTTAATTAAAGGTGCCTTCCACAAGCAAACCGAGATTCAAACCCTGTTTCTCCTACCCTCTCACAGTGTGACCTTCAGCAAGTGGCTTTTCCTTTGCTGAACCTTGGCTTCCTTGCATGTCAATGGAATCAAATCATGCCTCCTTCAATAGAACCACTGCAGGAGTCACACCGGAGTGTGTGATCCATGAGGACAGGACTTGTATTGTTCACTCTTGTAGCCCTGGAGCCTGGAAGGGTGCTGACGCATAGTAGGGCCTTGGTTCTGAGGTACCCAACTCAAGGTGGGTGGATAGGGGACTGGTTGTACCTCGTTATATTATATTTTTGAGTTGTTTCTTGAGGAGCAACATGTTTGTCCAGCAGAATGGTAAGTTGTATACAGGATTTTCTCTTGTCTCTTCTGCAGCTTGCCTGGAACTTTATACCTAACGGGTGACTTGAATCAGGAAGTAGCCTGGTATAGCAGCAAAGGCTGCCATCATACAGACCATACCATAGAAAGGCAGGTGTCTTTCTCGCTCTGGGCCTCAGTCTTCTAATCTTCTAATCTGCTGGATTAGAGAACATTCTCCTATAACTCTGTGCTGAGCAAGTGGGTGAATCCTTGGCCAACCATGAGATTTTGTGAGTTAGCAATTAGGTGTGATGACGGTCAGAGAGATTTGGTTCAAGCGCCAAGGAACCTGTCTAGACTGAAGACCCAGGGGCAGGACGAGAGGACCATGAAGAACTTGGGGAAAGGTAGAAGAGCAGGCTGGTTTGGAAGCAGAAGGGGGATCCATGCTGGGTGGAACCAGAAACCCAACCTCCCTTGGACGCTCCTCCTGTTCGGGTAAGGTCAAGTACCCAGCAGGTTTCCCAAGAGGGGAGTTCTGGGTGGGGTGGGAGGTGGGGCACTCCCAGGGCAGCGAACAAAATATGCAGTGCCCTTGAGGCCCAGTGCAGCTTCTTTCTCCTACTCAAAGGCCTCCCTGGCTGCTCTGTGAAACCGGGCACACAGTAGGTGCTTATTAAAAGGTAACTGTTACTCTTGGAACGTGCCCCGTTGGAAAGTCACCTGGGTGTTAGAAGTATTTAAGTACTGACTCTGCCCTGTGAGCTCTGTGGCTTTAGACCAGTTGAAGCTGGGCATCCTCATCTGAATAATGGTGCTAAAGGTAAAACAACAACAACTGACCTCCTGTTTGTGGTGTTTTGCTCCTAAAGATAATCGAGGTACATCCAGCATGGAACTGAGTGCCTCATCTCATTTAACACAGCGGACCTAGGAGATGGGAACATTATTCCCATTGCAGAGATGGGAACGGGAAAACTAAAATTGGCTTAAGCAAAGTATATTATTAGTCCTGTGATTGTTGTTGTTATTGATCTGTGCAACCAAAAAAAAGATGAAGTATCCTGCTTCAGGCAGAGCTTGATCCCGGAGCTCACGCAATGCCACCAGTTTCATGGCTTCATGCATGGACTCCGGATGGTAGCCAGAGAGCTGCCTGAGGTTCCAGCCTTGTGTCTCAGGTTCAAGTCTGGTGGGAAAAGAGAGCTTCTCAGTCCTACAGTTCAAAGAACCATTCCCGACCACATACTTGGGGGCTGAATTGGGCCACACGTGCGTCTCTGAGCTAAGAGTCAGGTCAAGGAAAGGAATGCCTTGATTGGCCAGGCTGAGCTCACACCAGCCTCTGGAGCCCAGTCTGCTCCACTCCATGGGAGTCAGTGTCTCAGGGAGGGGGCTCCCCAAAGGAGATTTGAGGTCTTGTGCCCAAAGGAAGCAGGTGGACATTGGGCAGCCCACAGCAGCAACAAATGCAGACCTCCAAGGCCAAGTTCCTGGGCCTGTGCATCTCCAATGATCAGATGCAAACAGGTCTTTTGGGACTCGTGTTCAAAGACAGATTCTGATTCAGCAGCTGGGGGTGGAGTTGGGCACAGTTCTGTTGCTAATTAGCTCCCAGGCGATGCTGCTGGCCTCTGGACCATACTTGGAGTATCATGGCATTAAACCACGAGAGCCGGGCACTGACAAGCATCATCTCCCGCGATTCCTACAACCACCCCAAGAGGCAGGTATCACCGTACCCATTTCCCAGAGGTGGAACTGAAGGCTCGGCAACGAGAGCTAGGGCGATGGTACAGGACACAAAGGCTAAACCCTAGAGCTGAGATTCCAAGGCCATGAAGATGGCAGGACAGAGAGAGACAGGACACGGGTCTGCCTAAAGCTGGGTGATGGATGTGAACAGAATTGGCATGGCATGAGGGACATTCTGCAGCTGACCACCTGAGCCATCATAGCCTTCAGTCAGCTCCAGGAACATTGGTTTTTGTCTTCTTCATTTTCCTTGCAGCCTTAACTATGGGGGAGTCTGCCTGGCATCGGACGCCCAGTTCAGTGACTTCCTGGGCAGCATGGGGCCAGCGCAGTTTGTGGGCCGCCAGACCCTGGCCACCACGCCGATGGGTGAGTGCCCCAAGACCTGTTCCAAAGCAGGGGGGTCCCACCACAATCCCTGCATCTCCCCCTCCTTCCCCTCTGCCTTGGATGCATCTGCTGAGTACCCAGCCCAGAGCCTGGTCCACACCTGCCAAGCCCTCAGCAGAGCCCAGGCATGTGGGAGTTGGTTCTGCTCTTGTTTAGGGCTGGGAGCTGGGGAAGGGGGTTTCATCCCTAAGCTGAGAGGAGTATCTGAGTCCTCGAATGAGCTTCGAAGCCATTTCAGAGTCTCATCTCCTGAGGCCTCTTGCAGGAGACGTGGAGATTGGCTTGCAGGAGCGGAACGGCCAGCTCGAAGTGGACATCATCCAGGCTCGGGGACTGACGGCCAAGCCAGGCTCCAAGACACTGCCAGGTGTGGGATGCTCTCCCCCTGCGAGGTGGGGGTGGAGGCAGGGAGGATGTCTGGAGGGATACCTGGGCCTAGAAGAGAGAAAATTGAGCCCCGCTGTGGGGGACCCTTTTGTTCCAACTCTGGTGACTCACATAGAACTAGTGATTTAGGGTTTATTCTGGGGAAATCAGTTGAGATTGTCAGCTGACCTTGCCAGCCTCCCCCACTGAACTGAGCTACTGGAGGGCAGGGACCATTTTTCCTGTTGATGGTTATACCCCAGTGCCTAGTAGGGGGCTTGGCACACCGTGGGCGCTCAGTAAAAGTTGTTGAGTGAATGGCTGGCGATGAATGTATAAAGCAGGGAAGGGGTAGGTGAGTCAGAGACAGAGGAAACAGGTGGGTACAGGGTGAGCAAAGGAAGTGGGGGAGGCAGTCAGGACCACCCAAGGGAGTGGAGTAGGTCCCACCCAACCCTGGCTGCACCCCACCACCCACACCCACTATCCCACTTGCCCCAGTTGCCTCCTCCCTAGACCCCACAGGGGCGCTCCAATCCCCAGCAGTGGGTAGGTGGGTGGCCTCCTTCTGCTGTGCCCTTTGCCCACCATTTGAGGCCCACACGGGAACTCAGCCTGCTGGCCTCTGTCCCCAGCGGCCTACATCAAGGCCTACCTGCTGGAGAATGGCGTCTGCATTGCCAAGAAGAAGACCAAAGTCGCCCGCAAGTCGCTGGACCCACTGTATAACCAGGTGCTCCTGTTTCCTGAGAGTCCCCAGGGCAAAGTCCTGCAGGTGAGGGGCATGGTGTGTGTGTGTGTGTGTGTGTGTGTGTGTGTGTGTGTGTGTATGCATGAACACGCATGCACAGTACCAGCGGGAGAGGGAGATACTCCTGGGGAGGGCCTCGCCTGGAGGAAGTAGACCGCTATGGTTGATGGGAGCTCTACAACCAGCTGTGCGCCTCTGAACAGGCTTCTTTCTGAGCCTCAGCTTCTTCATCTGTAAGATGGGGACACTAATAATACCTACTGATAACAGTGACAGTGAAATGTGTGCTTTGTGCAAGAAAAGTATTTGCAAGTTTGACCTGTAGTATAGTGCTCTACAAATGGCTTCCATCGTCATTGTCATTAACAACCTCGTCTGGAGGCCAAGGCCTTAGCCTGGGGCACATTGACAATGGACTGGGAGCCTTCTGAGGATCTAGACAGGGGGTTGGCCCTCCGGCCGTTAGGAGGATCCCAGTGGTGACTCAAACCTGGAGCTAGAAACAGCTGTGAAACGTGGGTACAGGCAAGTCCCAGGCCAGGTGCCTGCAGGAACCATATGCCCGTCCTCACGGAGCTGTCGCTTGGGCACCTGTGGCTTGTACCTCAATTTCGTGCTCCTCACCTGGGCCAGCAAAGCAACTGAAGATGGGGCCGAGGTGTTACGAGTTGCCAAGATAGTGGGACTTCTGCCAAACTGGGAAGCCCAGGTCGTGTCTAGGACAGAGTTTCTCAGCCGGTGGGTTGAGACCCATCAGTGAGTTGTGGAATCAATTTAGCCAGTCTCAGCACATTTTCCTTTAATGGAGTGAAATAGAATAGGAGAGAAAACATCACTCTCAGTAACGGAAGTCTTCTCTGGTGGGGCACTTGTTTCAATGGTGAAGCCCATGTGTGCATAGGTAAGGATGGGAATGTCTGTCTTCCTGGTGACCCCTGTCAACAAAGCCTGGGAAAACCCTTCTAGTCTCGAGGCATGCAGACACAATTTTGGAACAAGCAGAAGACCATCCACCATGCCTGTTTCATGAGTGGGTGTCTGAGGCTCTGGGAGCAGAGGGCCCATGGGGGATGCAGGTAGGGAGCTCACGATATAGGGTCAGCCTTCAAGACTTGGGTTCAAAGAGGGGACGTGTGGAGAATGGAATGGAATGCAGAGGGCAAGACTGCAGGTAGCGAGCCAGCCATCCAGGTGAGCGATGATGGCAGCGCTGGGGGCAGGAAAATATGGTTGGACTTAAGCACTCCTTAGGTGGTCAGATCCACAGGACTCGAAGGTGAACTGGGCATGGGGGCGACCCCAGGAGCTGGCTCTCGGCCTGTGAGTGTCATTGGAGGGTTGGAACCACTGTGTCTCTCGCCCTGCAGGTGATCGTGTGGGGGAACTACGGGCGGATGGAGCGGAAGCAGTTCATGGGTGTGGCCCGCGTGCTGCTGGAGGAGCTGGACTTGACCACTCTGGCCGTGGGCTGGTACAAGCTCTTTCCCACCTCCTCTATGGTGGACCCAGCCACAGGCCCCCTGCTCCGGCAGGCATCCCAGTTGTCCCTCGAGAGCACCGTGGGGCCCTGCAGCGAGCGATCTTAATGCCAGGGATGGGGAGGGGCTCCCCGAGATGGCCTGGAGACCACCCAGCCCCGACCTGGGACCCCAGGCCCAGGGGCACCTTGAACAGAGGAGGATGGAGTTCTCCCCCACAGCGGGGAAGCAGAATGGGGAGACCTGCCCCCCTTGAGACCCTCCTCACCCCTTCTTTGCCTCCTGTCCCGAGACCTTTCCTCTCCCAACGGGATTGGCTGCACTTTTGACTTGGCCGGTTCTTGACCTGGTGGATGTGGCTGCAATTCGGAGAAGGGAAAGACTGAGGTGGCAGAGCAAACCATTCTCCTGCCCCAGACACTGTCTGACCGTTCCCCCTTTTTGCGTCCTCGGAAGCTCGCTGCCCGGAGCCAAGTCCAGAACCCAGCGGCCATCTCCATGGTGCCAATTACCAGCAAGTGTCTTTCCTGCGGCACCGGGTTCAGGCAGCTACACCTGCCCCAAAGCTGATGGGGCAGCTTTGCAAGGATCCGGAGCCAGCTCCGGGGGGCCCAGAGCCCCCCACTTGAAGAGGAGCTCAGGCCTCCCTCCACCTGCCCGTGGAAGGAGCTTTGCCGCAGCCTGTCCGAGTCCATCTGTCTGTCCTCTCCTGCCTGCCCCTCTGCCGGTCACTCTAGGAATTGGGGTCCAGCAGGGACCAAAGGACAGGGGGAGGTGCCCAGGGCCTGGCACAGACCCCCCAGGGTGCCTCTCTCTGTGGGATTGCAACAAGTTACTTTGGAAACTATCAGACTGGGAAGAACTCTGTCATCTGGGTTTTGGTGGAGCTATGGGACCCCGATTTTCCAGAACCCCAAGCCCAGAGAGCTCACCATCTTTGTATTTTGGGGTGCTGGGTTGGAGAGGGAGTCTGGGGAAAGCTGGGAGTGGGACTGGTGATGCCAAGGTGAGGGTTTCCCAAATTGGGGAATCCCTTCTTGTTGGATGAGGTCAAAAGTCATCTTGTCTACCCCTCTGCCTCCAGGTGAGGGGTCTGGGGAGGCAACAGAGCTCCCCTATTTTAGTCTTTTTAAACAAACCACGTGTACTAAGGGCAGAACCCACTGCCCCGGCCTCAATAACCTTGGCTCAAGGAGAGAAGGAGAGTGTGGAGGTGGTGTGAGTCTAAGAACTGGGAGATTCCCTCTCAAGCAAGCCTGGGTAGCTGCCTTCTGGGCCCAGCCCTCCCTGGGGCCTACGGAAGCCCTTTTGCATGCTTGGGGAGGACTGGGGCTGGCCCCTCTTTATAGAAGCACATTTCTGCCACCTCCCCTGGGAGGCACCCAGCAGCCCACCACCCCTGATTACCCAGTCCCTGCTGTGTAGGGCGTAGTCCAGGTTAGCTGGGTAGTTAGTGTTCCAAGCCCTGGGGCCTGTTCTTAGCTTGCAGATAGTTCTCCCAGAGTCCTGGGATGGGGTGGAGAGGAGACCCCTGTCTCCTCGCTGGCCTGGGCCTGGAGCTCGGGAGGCCAGCAATTCCTTCTCCCCCCCCCCCCCCCCGTAGGGTTGTAGCTGTGGGGCTGCCCCACTATACTCAGATGTTCTTGGTTATTATCCTTGGTACTGATTTTATTTACGAAGCACTCCTGAGGATGTGGTCCTTGGTGGAGGGGGCCCGGGCTCCGTTAAAAGGGGGTCATTTTCCACTGAGGAGACCAGGCTATGTCTGGTCCTGCCTTGTCCCTGGTCCCACTCTAGGCTACTGACCAGGCGATTCTCTCACCTGGCATTCCTCCCCGCACCCCACCGTGCCCCACCCCATCCAACCCCCAGCTTGTTTGAGTCCTGGGCATCCTTTAAAGTCTGGTTGAGTTCATTCGCCTCCATGGCGCTTCTCACACTGCACTGGGAAGGGGTGATGGACCCCTTCATCCAAGAGACCTTCAGAGCTCCCTAGGTTTGTGGGGGTGGAACCCTAAGACTGGAGCAGGAGGCAGCCAGGCTCTGGGTAGACTGACATCTGAGGCCCGGGATCAGCCCTTCCTCCATTTTTTTTTTTAAGCCATGTGACTTCTCTGCTGTTCATTTATTACTCGCCATTTGGAATATTTTGAGCCAGGAGAGCGCCTCCTCTCTCTGCAGCCATCACCGCTCTGGTTATTCAGGGGTCGTTTTCAAAGACGGGCAGAGCCTGGCTGTCCCAGCCAGAGGGAGAGGGGGCTTGGTGCCCCCCCCCAGCCTGAGCCCGCCCTCTGGTGTCTGCGCAGCCTTTATAAAGAGAGAGAGAGAGAGAGAGAGAGAGAGAGAGAGAGAGAGAGAGAGCTCCAAAGCAATAACAACACTCTGGGGTGGTCCCCAAGGGCCCCCTCACTGACTTTCTTGTTTGTTTTGTGAAATTTCAGCTCACCTCCTGGTGGGGTGGGGTGAGTGAGGGCTGGAGCCCTATTTCTTTGTATCACCATTGTGAGCACGTGCCTCCCACCCCCTTCCAAGGGGCTCTGACCATTTGGCATGGGAACTACCTTCTGTCCTTACTGAGGGAAGGGGGTTATTAGCTTTGGGAACCTTCAAGCCCAGCCTGTCCCCACTGCTGTCAGATCCTTTGCAGCTCAAACGCCACCATTTGGGGAGAGGACCAGAGAGGATAGAGCTGGGGGCATTCAGGGTGGGGAGGCTGGGGTCTCTCGGGGGAATGATTTTTTTCAATCTCTGGGCCAACGGTCACATGCAGGGGTAGCGTGGGAGGGAATCGTCTCCACTTTCCTTGTCCAGAGTCCACTTTTCATACCAAAGGGAAAGGAGCTTTGGGACCGTTAGTAAAGTCATTTCCATCTTACAGGTGAGGAGACCGAGGCCCAGTGCAGGAAGAGCTGCCTTGGGTCACCTGTGAGTTCGATGGCACCCCCAGCCTGGGCCTCCTCATCCTCGTACCTGAGGCTGAGCTAGAGCCTGGGCAGGACAAGGTGGCACTGCCACTTCTCACAACCCTTCCTCCTCCCTTCTCAGTGGAGCCTCCCAGTGGCCTTGAAAAGATGGGCAGGGCAAATTGTAGCCCAATTGAGAGATGAGGAAACCGAGGCCCAGAGTCAGCAAGCGAGCATTGGGTACAGAACAGGGGTTCCATTGTACTTCCTTCCTGGGACAGGAGACCACTGATCCAGGACATGGCTGCCATGATAAGTATTTGTGGCCTTGAAGCCCTGGGCCACCCAGTCCTGCTTGGTTCCATCTCCATGGGCCAGTAACTTTTCTGGGACCGGGTTTGGGGAAGAGGGTTGCCATAGAGACCTAGCTCTCCTGGGGGACACCAAGGGGCCATAACCCTCCAGGACCAACTTGAGAGAGGTAAGAAGCACCAGGTCCTGCCTGGGGCCATGGGGGAGTGAGGCGGCTATAGTACACCTCATCTTAAGGAAACCCTCACAAAACCTTCAGAGGTAATCATGTCTGATCTTCCTGTAGTACTTTTCAAACGTTTTGTTTTCCAAGTGCTTTTACCTCGAGTATACCCTCACAGGCCCTGGGCAGTAGGTGGGGCCTCTATCATCAGCCCCATTTTAAAGAGGAGAGAGCTGAGGCCCTGAGAGGGGAAGGTGCCTGCCAAGGTCCCACTGTGAGTGAGTGGCAGAGCCTGGACCAGAGCTCAGTTCTGCAATAGCTCAGAGCCCTTTCTTCTACACGGGGAGGTAAAGCAGTTGAGGGGGTGGTTATGCACTTTACAAGCTGAGTCACCCTCCAGTCCCTGAAAGCAGGAGCTCCTGGGCCCCACCCCCCTTGGAGCACAGCTGTTGCATCAGGCAAGGCCACCTGCATTTATTTATTGAGCAGCAGTGCTGTGCCAGGCCCAGGGGACTGAGCTGTCCCTGTACCCCTGTAATGACTCCTGCAGCTCTCTGGGAGGGCCCTGTGTCTGTATAGCAGCACCTCAGCGTGAACAGGAGGCTTTCATGTCCATGAGCATCTGACTCACAAACCCCGTGGAGAGGCTGACCGTGTCCATATTATTCATAGCTTCTGTGAGAGCAAGGTGGAGACTTGAACCCAGGGCCTCAGGCATCACAGCTGAAGCCATTTCACTGGACGACTGCCTCCTGAGGGGGTGGCAGGAAGGCAGGACTCCGGGTCCGCAGGCTGGGGCCTCTCTGTCCACCCACCTCTCCCTCATTCCCTGTCTGGGAGCTCGGGCCTTTGAGGAGGGAGGGTTTCCGGGGCCCCTGGGTTGGAGTGGGTCACGTTGCATTGTGTTCATGACCATGTAGCTCATGTTGAAAATTAAAGTTTTTGGCTTTTCTAACCTGGCTTGCTGTTTTGTGTTGAGACAGTTCTATCTGGGCAGCTAAGGGCAGTTGGTGTTTTAAGAAGCTGAGTACTACAGGATGCCAGCATGCCCCACTGTGGGCTTTTGTAATGCCCCCTCATGGGCCCGTCCCAGGAACCCTGCCAGAGGTGCATAGGAGAGGGCAGGATTCTGGGTGAACCCAGTCATTTTACAGGTGTGGAAACTGAGGCCCAGAAACTGAGATTCCCCAAGGTCACACTGCAGGGATCTGGCAGGACCCAGATCTTAGAGCTCATAGAAGAGAGCTTGTCTCACAGCATTCAGCTGCGTCCAGGTGGCCCCCATGACATGGTAGGTGTCAACAAGGCTCCTCTCCTCCCCAAGAGGGGCTGGCCAAGGACAAAGAGCGTCAGCTTGGGGATGGGGAACTATGTTACATTAACACCTGGGCCAATTCCTCTCTACACGCTGAGCAAGAGAAAGCGATCGTTTAAATAGTGCAGTGATTTGTCCGCTCGTCCACACTGGATGGTAAATGGTTCCTGTCAGTTCATCTCCTCCCCTGTGCTTCTCATAGTGTGAGCAGCTGGCCTCACTGGTAGGATTCCAGTGTTGAAAATCGTGCATTTCCCCTCTAACACGGAAACCTGGCCTCTTCAGACAACAGAAAAATAGCCACCTGCTTCCACTTTGGAGGGTCGGCTAGTGACATGGGTCTGTGGAGAGCCTCTCCTAGACAACAATGTGGATGAGAGGGATTTGCACCTACTGGGCGACTATAGAGTCGTATTTGTGCTTGTGATGCGACTTTAATAGATTTTCGGAGAGGGGAGAGGGGCTAGCCACAGAAGAGAATGAGAACCGGGCCGTGGCAGAAGACTGGCATTGCGGCCACGGGTCCCTCGCCCCTCTCCAAGCTCTGGGGAGAGCGGTGCACTGATGGGTAAACCCAGACCTTCCGTTCTGGGATGGACCTCCTGTAGGGCAGGGCTGTCAGATGGACTTCCGACGGGCTGGGGGCCTGCCTGCCCCGCAGCCGCCCACAGCCCCAGGACTCGCGGGTGGCGAGAAGCCCAGGTTGTCGCGGGCCCACATCTCGAGTTGGTGGACGCGGTAGGAGACGGAAGAGGAGCCCCCGGGGCGGGCCGGGCCGCCGCGGCTCTCGGGCGCCCCCAGGCGGAGCGGGCTGGCCCGGCGGACAGCACGCTCGGGCGCGTCGGTGCTAGCTGCTAGGAAGCGCAGGACCACCAAGTTGAGGAAGGCGCCAATGACCGTGAGCCCCAGGAGGATATAGAGGAAGCTGAAAGCCACGTAGGGCGGCTTCCTCTGCAGCGCCTCGTCTCTCTGCAGCGCCACGAAGTCGCCGAAGCCGATGGTGGTGAGGGTGATGAAGCAGTAGTAGTAAGCGTGGAAGAAAGTCCACCCCTCAAAGTGCGCGAAGGCAGCGGCCCCGAGGGCCAGGGTGGCCGCGCACACCAGCAGCCCGGCCACCACCATGTTCTCGGTAGACACGCGGGGCCGCTGCAGGCCCAGGCAGCGCTTGGTCGCCAGCAGGAGGCGCCGCACCAGCGCATTCAGCCGCTCGCCCAGGCTCTGGAAGGTGACCAGCGTCAGGGGGATGCCTAGGAGCGCATAGAACATGCAGAAGACCTTGCCCGAGTCGGTACCTGGCGCGGTGTGGCCGTAACCTGGAGCAAGAGCGGAGGGGAGGGTCGGTGAGTGCGCAGCACCCTCTAACACCACTGTCGCCCTCGGCCGGCCTGTCCGGTCTCGCTCCCATCCCCCAGAGCTGGCGCAGCATCTTGAAGATGCTAGTTCTAACTAGGACATTCCCCTGGCTTCAAAACCTTGCCTGGTTGTCCCCAAATTGTGAACACCCCCAATGTCCCTCAACTGGGGAACCGATAAACAACCCTACCATGGAATTCTCTGGGGCAATAGAAAGGGGTGAACTGCAGTTACCTGCAGCAACAAACAAAGGATGATTCTCAAATGAATTACAGGGAAGCCAAGCTCCACAGGCACATACTGCATGTACCTTCCATTTAAATGACACGCTGGCACAACTATGGGGACAGAGAACAGATTTGTGGTTGCCAGTCACGGAGACAGGAGAAGGGGTTAAACGACAACGGGGCAGGACAGAATTTTGAAGGGTGATGTAAATGTTTTATGTCTCGATCGTAGCTGCAGTTACAGGACAGGTCTGCATTTGTCAAAACCCGCAGAAGTGTGTACTGAAAATGGTGAGTTTTACTGGATGTAAATTATGTCTTGATATTTAAAAAAAAAAAAAAAGCAAACTCTTCTGTGGCTCTCAGTTCCCACAGGGTCAAGTCTCAGTTCCCACATGGCGTCCAGGTTCCTTCATGATCTGAATCCCTGTCACCTCTCCAGCCTCACCCTATGTTGTTTTCCCAACCAGCATGTCCCACCTCCACCTGTGTTTTCTCAGGTTCCTTCTCCTCCCCCCGCCCCACTGCCCTATTTGCCCTGCCCCGGTCCACTCTCCTTCCCAGATCCTGCTCCAAGCCAGCTCTCACTAAACACCTCTTCAGCCCGGTGTAGCGATTCTTCACGGGGTCCCCTCCACTGTTGTAGGGGACCTAAACATGAGTGGGCTTCCTTGAGTCTTGGAAGGAGTGGATATGTGTCTTTTCCAGGACAGAGGAGCGAGAGCTTTCATGATACTCTCAAAGGGTCCCATGACCCCCCAAAAGCCAATAGGCCTTCCCCAACAGAATATCCCCTCTCGACCAAGATTGGCCCCATCTGCCAAAATGTAAAATACAAAAAACCCTTTGACCTGTGCTGTCCTACAGTTAGGAAGTTAGTCCTCCAAAACACACACATGTGCAAAGTGATGTATGCACGTGGGTTATCATTGAAGCATTGTGGCTCACAGTGAAAATTTTAGACAGCCTAAGTGTCCATCCTTAGGGACCTGGTTAAATAAATCATGGTACCATCCAAATGATGGAATATTACACAGTAACAGTTCCCACTCAGGGTGATTTTGCTCCTAAGGGGACATTTGGCAATGTCCAGAGAGTTTTGGTTGTCACAATTGGGAGGTGGCGGCTGTGTGCTACTGGCATCCAGTGGGTAGAAACTAAGGATACTGCTAAACATCCTATGATGCATGGGACAGCCCGGACAGCCCCCACAACAAAGAATTATCCAGTCCAAAATGTCAATAGTGCGGAGGTTGAGAAGAGCTGCTATACAGTTTTGAAAAAGATAACAGAGTTATTTAGGGACTAATATAAAAACATCACCTACATATAGTAAGTGAAAAAAGAGAAAAAATTGTGTGTATAATATGTCTATATAATGTGTGTGTGTGTGTGTGTGTGTTTTAAAGAAATATATAGGCAGAGAATATATCTGGAAGGATACATAAGAAACTGGTAACTGTATTTGATCCATGGAAAGGAATTTGGGGGTTGAGGGACAGGGTGAGAGGGAGACTTCCTTTTTATTCTATACCATTTTGTGTCGGGTGAAGCGTGTACTGTGTGCATATATAACTTATTCAAAATATCAACACAGTATGTGTTTTTAAAGACCTATGGCTCCACTTTCACTTTTCTATTGCATGGCCCTATCTGTTATTGGAAGTGGGGGGTTGAGGGTTCTGCCCACCACTAGACTATGAGCTTCTTGAGGCGAGAAACCATGCTGGTTACTTCTGTGTCCCTAGTCACCAGCGCCCTACACAGAGCCTGACAGACTACGGCTCCATGAAAGTTTAATCATTAATAATAATGATAAACCAAATTGAAGGAGGTGCTGCTAAGTGTGCGACAGAGGAACCTCTTTAGGATTAAGAGGCCAGGGAGTGCCGTTTCCAGCTGTTTGAGACTATGTCAGATTTTTGGCAGAGTGACATGAGTAATGATACTAGCAAACCATGCTGGGTACTCCACATGGATTATTTTACGTAACCCTCTCAGTGACTGTATGAGATGACATTATCCCCATTTTACAGATAAGGAAACTACACTCATTGGGAGGAAGCTGCCCGACGGTCACAGGCCTGAGCTATGAACTACTCTCCTCCATGGCTTCTCAGTGCCTCTCTTCTACCAAAGCAGGGCTCACACTCCTGGGTTCTGGCACCTGGCTCTTTACAAGGCTGGCTTATGCCGCGGGGGCCACACTGCAAGGGTTGGCGACCCTAGGTGGCCAAAAAAGACAAAAATCCTGTTTCTACTCTTAGTCCCTCCCCCCCCCATGCATGGAGGGGCAGGAAGGGGAGATGGGTAAGGTGGGGGGAGGAGAAAGGGGGCACATCCAGAAGAGGAAGCCAAATCCAGCTAGCAGGCCTCCAAAGAATGAGGGGGAGAGCAGAAGAGGTGGATGGGTTCCAACACCACTGGGCATGGCGGCAGGGAGAGTCGAAGGCTGAGAGACAAGAGACGGAAGCGAGGGTGCCCACGTTGACAAGGTGGGGCATAAGGACTGAATGGGAGCTGGCCCCACAGTTGGCAAATAACGAATTGTCATTATTACTAATTAATAGTGCCTATTTAGCTGTAGGCACCGTGCCAAGCATTTTACATGCTTGACCTCGTTTAAACCTAGCAACCACCCAATGAGGTAGGAACAATTGCATTTTGCAGCTGAGGAAACCAGGGCTCAGAGAGGTACCGCCAGTTACCAGAGAAGGCAGGAGGCAATAGAGATGAGACCAGAACTCTGGTCCGTGTATTTGCAGAACTCAGACTCGTGACTCCAGTGCTAAACCCACAAGCTCATATTCACCTGCAAGAGCATTATGGAGACATTTCCTCCAAGGCAGGATGGTGATCCAAGCCCAAGGGGGCGCCTGAACATCCACAGCTGGGGCTTGGGGAGTGGCTGGCACCCAGCTGGGAACCCTGCAGAGCCTCCTTTCCTGCTTTCCTAGGCTTAGGCTCCACAGGTACCAGCCAATGGTAGCCATGGCAACGGCTGGCTGTCCAGATGCTGCAGAGAAAGTGCTCTGAATCCCCGAGGGTGAAGTCCAGATCTTGTGGTAATCAGTCATTCCTTCAATAACTATTTATTGAGTGTCTACTATGTGCCAGGCACTGGCCATACTGCAGTGACTAAGACAGACTGGAAGTAACAGAATAATAATTATAATACAAAAATCACTTTCTTGTTTTAGTGTTTTCTATTGTGTCAGGCCCCTGTGCTGAAACTTTCTGCATATGTTATTTGCTTGATAATGAGAGCGGGCCTATTAGCCCCCCTAGTTTACAGAGGAGAAAACTGAGGCTCAGGGAAGTTATGCAACTTGTCTCAGGTCACACAGCTAGTGTGGTGCAGCCAGGCAAGGAAGCAACTCCAGCCACTTGGGTTTCTGGTCCCACTTCCTCTGCCTCCCAGCCCCCGGGGCGTTTTCTGGGCACTCCTGCATGCCGGCCTCTTGGTAAACTTGACCTTCTGACTTCTCCCAGCCCCGACTGCGTGGAATGACAGCCCATTTGCAGAGGGAGGCAAGTCAGGCTCAGTGAGCTGAAATGACTCGTCCAAAGTCACCCAGCTGGGCAGGGGCAGAGGTGGACTGCAAACCCAGGGGCACCGCGGGCTGCTTGGGATGGAGCGGGCACCGAGGGGGGGCGCCGGGGTGCTCACCGATGGTGGTGATGACAGTGATGGCGAAGTAGAAGGAGCCGGCGAACTTCCACTGGCGGCCGGCGCGGTGCGGCTCAGCCTGGAGCGCCAACCGCTCCAGCTCGCGGTAGTCTTCAGCGGAGAAGCCGTACTTCCTCCGGAGCTCGCTCCGCTTCTGGGCCAGCAGCCGCTGGCGGCCGCTCTCTGCCTCTGACTCAAGTGCGTCGAAGACCGCGGCGCCCACCAGCAGGTAGGACAGGATGCACAGGACCAGCGCGGCGGTGCGCACGCTCTGCTGCCTCATGGCTGCGCCGGGGACCGCGCTGTCCCCCTCCGCGTGGTGCCGCCCCGGTCCCGGCTGCAGCCATGCGCCCCGACGGCCTCCCGCGCCCGCTCCGCCCCTGCCGGCGCCCGTGACCCGCGCGGCGGGAGCCCGGGCTGCGCGTGGCCAGAGTGGGGCACCCAAAGGCGGGGCCTCGAAGGGGTGGCTAGGAGGGCAACGATGCTCCTCCAGCCATCGCTGCCCTGCCTCCACCACACACATCTGCCTTTGTTTACCCGCTGGCGCCCCGGGGCTAATGTATCCGCAAACAGAGACATCTGGAGCAAAGCGCCCAAAGCCTGGGTCTGCAGAAGTCCTATCCCCACCACCCTCTCATCCTGTGACCTTGGGCAAGTCATTCATTCATTCGTTCGTTCGTTCGTTCGTTCAATCAGTTTGTCAGTCATCCAACAAATATTTACCAAGCACCTACCGGTGCAAACAAGATTCCTGATGTAAATAGAGCTGATGTCCTAGAAAGGAGGGTTGGCTAAAAACCAGACAAAAAGATCATTTAAGACAAGTGTGAGAAAGAAGGAAACCGGTTTCTGGGGGGAGGCCTCTTTGGGGAGTGACAGGGGAGGGAGCATCGAGGCAGCAAGTGTAAGTGCTTTAGGAGGCGAGGCTGGAGCCAGGAGAATTGGGGTGCTGGAGAGTGTAGAGCAGGAGGGAGCAGAAGGAAGACAGAGGTGACTTCACACAGGGTTTTAGAGGCCCTTATATGGGTTTATTCTTCAGTACAATTGGTAAGGCTATAGACAGGAAAACAAACTTACCAATGATCTGATGGACATTTTTCAAAAAGAGCATTCTGACTGTCATGTGGAAAAGGGATGGTGGCTAAGAGTGGGGGCCAGCTAGGAGACTCTTGTAGTCCAGATGGGTGCTGAGGGTAGCCTGGACCAGGGCCACAGCCCTGGAGGTAGAAAGAAGCGGATGGACCTGAGATGTGTTGGGGAGGTGGAGCTGGGCACACACAGCTAGCCACATTTCCCAGCCTCTCTTGCACTTACAAGCTGTGGTCCATGGAATGTGGGCAGAAGTGACATGTGCCACTTCCAGACCTGGCCCATAAAATCCTCCCATATGCCATGTTCCTCCTCTCTTCCCCACCCACAGGCTGAATGCAGAGTCTTTAGAAGAGGGCAGAGCCACAGGGTGGAAGGAGCCTGGGAACCTAAGTGACACATTGCAAGGCCACCTCCACCAGGAACACCTGTTTGAACTTGTGTTGCGTTAAGCCCCTGGGATGTGGGGTCAGTCTGTCCTTGTAGCTAGTCTCACCTTGCCGCACCGAGCAATGGGTTGGATGTGGAGGGCAAAGGGGAGGACTCAGGATGACCCCTATGTCTTTGACCTGAACAGCTGGGTGCTTGGGGAGACTTCCATTGACCTCACTTCCAGAGGAATGCATCCTGCCCCCCGCCCCCAGCACCAAGGCGACCCACATTTTAGAGTGTGGGTGGGCCTTTGTAGAGATTCTGAACAAAGCACCTGGCAGCCTCTCCTGCTGCTGTCCAGAGCGTCTGCACTCCCTGGTCTCGGCTGCAGCCTGGGCATGCATCACCTGCCCCCCATCACTGCCCCAGCCTCTCTACCCACAGCCCCTCTGCCACAATAAACTTTCAACAGCTTGCACAAACTCTTGCTCTGCTTGGAACAGTCCTCCCGCTCCCCCCATCCCACTCAACAGCCAGCATTTATTGAATGTCTGCCAGGGGCCAGACACCGGTTGAAGCACTTTCCCAGGATTAATGCATTTAATCATCACCAGCTCCTTGTGCTGTAGGTGTGGCTGATAAAGCCCTGTTCATCCCTCCACTCCCAGTTGGACATCTCGCTTCCTGACTCCTCCTCTGGTGGCCCTTCTCTGCTGCCACAGGCCTCTCTGCCTCCTGCCATCTTGCATCCCTCTCACTGCATTGAAATTCTTGCATTCCATATCTGTTTCCCCCCTGAAGACAGGGATCCTATCTTAGTCACCTCTTTGTTGCCTGCCCCCAGACCTGGCAGGAGTACACACCAGCGACTATGGACAAAGGAGTGGCCACAGCACGTAGAAGTTAAGAGAATGGACTCTGCACCCTGACTGCCTGGGTTCATATTCCCACTTCTGTTGCTTACCAGCTGTGTGAAATCGGATGCCTCAGTTTCCCCACCAGTAAAATAGGATTCGAAAAAAGTTCTATCATTCGGTGCTGTGGTCTGCAGAATAATGCTCCTCCCCCACCCCCATAGATGCCATGTCCTATCCTGAGGACATGTAATTAGGTTACATGGCACAGGGGATCAAGGTTGCAGATGGAATTAAGGATGCTAAGCAACTGACTTTGAGCTGGGAGATGATCCTGGAATATCTGTGTAATCACAAGGGTCCTTTTAACTGGAAGAGGGAGGCAGAAGAGGGAAAAGCAGAGAGGTGCAAGACAAGGAGGACTTGGCCTGATGTTGGCTTTGAAGATGGAGGAAGAGGCCATGATCCAAAGAGAGCAGGCGACTTCTCTATAGAATCTGGAAAAGGCAAGGAAATGAATCCTTCCCTACGGCCTCCAGAAAGGAACTCAGTCCTGCTAGCACCTTGATTTTAGCCCAGTGCGACCTGTGCAGGCCTCCACCTGACAGATCTGGAAAATAGTACATTTGCATGGTGTAAGCCACTAAGTTTGTGATCATTTGTCACAGCAGCAACAGGAAACTACTACAGTGAGGATCAATTGAGACAGTAGATGTGACACTTTACTGTCACAGAGCAGTGTCTGGCTCTGAGGACTTGTCTAGAAGTGTTAGCCACTATGACGAATACCACAATGGAGCAAATGCCTGGGTCCCATAGAGACGTTGCACCCAGTACCTGCCCTGATTCAGTTCTCAGGTAGAATTGGGGCCCAGTGCATGATCAGGGGGCCTTGGACCCCCCTCCCCCACCACCCCAGAAGCAGACTGCAGCTCAGTGGCCCAGAAGCAGGGCGCTGGGGCTGCTGCCTCAGCCTTATTTTTAGCAATGGCGTCAGCAAGTTTGATTTTCTGATTCCTGCCCAGACTTTAGCAGAGCAGGAACCTACGCTATAATCTCAGAGTGGGGGTGGATGGGGCACCGGGGACCTACAGCCCACGAAGGACCTGAGAAGAGCTTGTTGGGACAGTGTGGGGGTGGGGACAGCTTGTTCTTAGGGGAAGGACAGGGTCCATGCCGGGGACAGTTACTGAGGTCCTGGTCATGAACACAGCTGGAGCCAGCGAGGCCTGGGTTCAAATTCCAGCTCCTCCACTTTCTAGGTACGTGTCCATGGATAGAATGCTCCCACTTCTCTGGGCCTTGGTTTTCCATCTGAGAAATGGGGTGATAACAATGCCTACCTCCTAGGACCATGTAGAGGATTATAAAAGATATTGTGTGTCATTTTCCAGGTGCCTGGTAGCAGGTAGCCGCTTTCTTCCCTGTTTACAGCTGTCTGCCTGCAGATGTCAAAAATTCTTTTCCAGAAGCAGGGACAAAGCTAAAACGGTCACGCACCTGTCCGTCCCCAGCATATTCACAGACAATACTAAATGAGCCCTCACTCTCCAATGCAGGCAGCAGAGGCACAGAGGAGAAGAGGTCCCACTTGCCAAATCCTCACAGCCAGGCAGTGGCGGAACCAGAACTTGAACTCAGACCCCCAAGATCACAATCTCTCCAGTACACGGCCTCATCAGGCAAGATGCCACTGGCTTGATCACCCTCCTGCCACCTCTCTGGACCTCACTTTCTTCATCTCTAAGATGGGACTGAGGAGAGCTGGCTGGCTGTTTGCCCCTACCATTGTGAGGACCCTGTGACACGCAGCTGAGAGGTGCTTTGTCAAATGTGTCCGCTGGGGGTGGGTATTATTGGGGCCATGGGGGAGCTGTCTGGCCCTGCCAGGCAGGTGACTCTGCCCTGTGCTTGGCATTTTCGGTTCAGGGGCTCTATTTTAAGCTGAAGGAGGTTAGAGTTTGTGTATGTGTGTTTCTCAGCTTGGAAAACCGTCAGCTGTGCAGTCACCAAAAACAGCAACACCCCAAGGCACCCCCTGCAGCTCCCCTCCCTCTGCCTCCTCCCCTCCTTCCTCCTTTGGGAGCCTGAGAGGACCTGGTGATTTTCCTCTGTCCCTTCATGCCTCTCCCCGAGGCTTGGATCTTCTATCACGGCTCCAAGGTTGCTGGCTATGAGGACAATGAGACAGGTGAGCCCAGTCCCCAGCTGGGCCCTGGGCATCTTTTAAAGCACTTCACATCCCTTATGAGTCTAAATCCTTCTGAAAGCTTTGTGAGCTGGGCAGGCCGTGCCATTCCCATGCCAGGGAGAGGAAACAGGCTCAGAGAGAGAAGACTGTCATTTAAGGTGGCACACAGTAGGGCAAGTGGTTAAGAAAGAACATGAGTTTCTGAGCGAGCCAGACCTCGGTTCCATCTTGCGTAAGTGACTTCACCTTTGTGAGCCTCACTTTCCTCACCTGTGACACAGGGGTATAAAATATCTGCCTAACGGTGTTCCCGTGAGGATTGAATGAAAGTAGTGAAGGAGTGCTCAGCACATAGTAGGTGCCAGGAAATGTGAGCACCCCTCCTCCACCCAATTAATTTCTTTCCCTTTTCCACACTGCTTACTCCCCGGGCTTACTGGAATCTTGAAGCATTGATTTTTATCGTTTGATTATAGTTCAGTAATTTTCCCAAAGGCCAGAGGACCAGGCAGCTTTCCCAGATAAGATCTCTTTCTTGTCTCTCTTCTAAAAGAATGGATTATTTTGACCTCAGGAGACAATAGGTACCAGGTCCTTCAAAATGGCAGCTGTGGCCTTTTGGCAGCCTGAGTATCTTTTAGAGACCTGGGTTGCAAGAAATTAAAAGCTGCCTTGTGCTAATTTAAAGAACGTTGTTGGTTAGGATTTGGGATCTCCCAGAACCTTCTAACACTGGAAGACAAACCATATCACTTGGGGGACCCAGAGAGAGGGAACCTTGAGTATCCTCAGGAAAACACCGTCGCCATGCCCAGTATGGGGGTC